TTCATTTTGTTTTTCTTTCTTTTTTTGCTTTCTATCTTTGAGACCTTTTGTGATCTTTGTGCTTTTTTTTTTTCAAAAATTATCACCCAGTGTGGAGGGTGATCTTTGGTCAGGGTTCTTTTAGAAAACGAAATCATTACAAGCTTAAAAGGGTAGCAATGAATAGTTTTTTGAATGGTAAAAGAAAGATGGCCATTTTTTCTTTCAAATATGAATTCTTTCTTTAAAGATCATCTATTGAACAAAAATATGCTCATGGATCTTTATAAAAGATTACATATCTTCAAGACATATCTATTTCACTTTTACTAGTAGTTGACTTTTTTTTCTCAAATAATCTCCTTAGATCAATGTGAATGAGTTTTCAAAATTAAATCTCAGAATTATTTTTATCATTGTCTAAATATTCACCATCTGAAATTTGAGAATGGGAATAAAAAGAGATAAAAAATAATAAAGCATGGTCAAGTGAAAGAGAAATTGTAATGAAATGCATCAACTTGTCTTTTATTAAAATGATAACAAATGAAATCCTATTGCATAAAAGAATTCCTAACATTACTCTAAAAGAAATCTTAAAATGACAAGTAACTTCCAACTAGCCTTAACATCCTTCTTAAAATTATATGCCCCTGTGCAATCAGGTGAAGGATTTTTATTGATATCTTGCCCCCTGATTCATCAAAGCTCACTAAGCCTTTTTGGATCAAACTTTGCACTTTGAGTTTGAAAGTAAGGCGGGTTTCAATAGAATGACCTACATTTCCCTTGTGATAATCGCACGTTGCATTAGCATCGTACCACTTTGGATAGGGTGACTTCAATGGCTATTGCATAACTAGAGATACCAAGTTATTCTTGACCAGTTTTGGAAATAACTCATGTAAGTCATGGGGATAAAGTCAATATGTGCGTTTTCTTAGTTATCTCGAGATCTTCTTAAACCACTTCCTTAGTTGTTAGGCTTTGAAGTTAATGCAGGTTCTTGAAAGGTTGATTGGTAGGTTAGTGGGTAAGCTGGTTGTGGATACAGTTAATATAGGTAAGGTGAGTTATTGTTCACAGTAGGATAGTATGAGGAATATTCTTGTGATGGATAAGGTTGATGTCTCTTAAACTGTCTGTCAAAACTCATGGCTTGAGCTTCAATCTCTTTTTTCTTTTGGCATCTTCTTGAGTTCCCTTCCTTCCAACTTGCCATTTTTAATGGCATTCTTAATAATTTTACCTGAAATCACCATGTCAGCAAAATTTTTTGTGGCATTCCCTATCAATTTTTTGTAATAGAGAGATTTCAAAGTGCTAACAAACAACACTGTAGTTTTTTTTTTAGTCAAAGGGGGTTGCATTTGAGAAGCTACATCCCTCCATTTTTAGGTGTATTCCTTAAATAACTTATTTGCCTTTTTTTTCATGTTCTGCAAGGATAGGCAATTAGGGGCTAAGTTTATGATATGCTGATATTGACTGATAAAGTCATAGGCCATATCACTCTAAGAACAAATACAAGTTCTGTCCAGCTGGACATACCATCTAGTAGCACAGCTAGTGAGGCTATCTTGAAACACATGCATTAATAGTTTTTCATTATTAGCATGGGCTTTCATCTTTCAATAGTACATGGTAATGTGGGTTTTTAGACATTTTGTACCATCATACTTCTCAAACTCTGAAACCTTGAACTTAGAAGGAATAACAACATCAGGGACTAGACAAAGTCCAACAGCATCCATGAAACCATAAAAAGCAACTCCTTCCACTTCTCACAGCCTCTCTTCCAACATACTAATCTTCTGGTCAACTATCGAGTCCTTTAGTGACTCGCCCCTTTTCAGTTTTAAATTTTTATTCTCTTTTGGATTGTCTAAATCAGGGACCTAAACTAGTTCTACTGTCTTTTCAATAAAGATATGATTTATATAATTTTGATACTGTTCTGGATTTGAAGCTGATAGTATTTTAAGGTATGTATAGCCTACTGAATATGTGAATTGCTATGGTGGTAGGTTTTGTGTGGATTAGGCTTGATGCAACCCAAAACCAAAAGGATACAGAGGCTCATCCACATTTGTGATGGATAGTCTTGTTGGCTAGTATTCCCTTCTATTCCTTTTTCTTTGTTTAACTTATTCAAGGCTTCCAAAATCTTATTCAACTCCCTTTCTAGCTTTTCTTGAGCTTTCTTTATCCTCTCAAGACGGTTGAAATTTTTTTGTTCCATTTTTTGGCTCGAGATCTTGTATTGTATTAGTGAGTTGATTGTGTGGAATTCTTGGTTAGTGGAGCTATCCTTAAACCTTGAGTACCACAATTATGATAAAAAATGATATACTTTATGTGTGATATGTATATGCATGAAATGTACCTTTTCATGGATGAAATGAAAATGATACAGATGCACAACATTACATATGATAGTGAAAATGATGTATGACATGATAATGCAAATGCACAAAGTCAAACAAACAAAATAGTTAGATCACAAACTATTCCTTCTTGTGTCCTAACTTCGAGTTACGTCTATCAATTGGGTAGGAAGGGCTCTATCTTAAGGCTAGCCTTTTAAGTGTACACTATATGCAAGGTTAGGTGATTTTGACTAATAAAGGTTCCTAAATTGTTCCTTACATCATCATGCATCATAGACTAGTAAGACAGTCTAATCCTTATTCATCACAAGCTACCAACAGAAATGATTTAATTTGAGTGAGAGTATTTTGCTAGCTATTGTGGAGATTATCATCTCATGAGAGCGTAGGTACTTTACTCCCTTCTGAAGAGGATGGAGCCCGAGTATAGAGCTCATGAAATGCAAATGCATGTGACAGTGTGTGTGAAGGAACATATAGGTTTCGTGCCCAAAAATAAAAGATAAAAAAGATAAAAACGTTAGTAAACAGATAACACATGATTACAATTTAAAACCATTAGACCAAATGATAGGATAAATTCAAAAATTATGGCCTGACTCTCTAGCGTCCCTAATGGAGTCACCAAACTATCAGAACATATAGATCCAAAAATCTATAGCTAGACTTAACAAATGGAGTCGCCACCAATCTTTTTAACTAGGTGTGAATGGAATTTATCCTTTTAAGGATCTCCGAAGCTTGAATAAGGTTTCCTAAAGGAATAGGTTTGGGTCTACAAATCAAAACAGGGTTCGAGAGTTTGGTTATAGCACCCCCACATGCACATCCGAAAGATGGTACCATATTATTTTAAATTTATCTTAAGATGTTGATTCTAATGGTTTCAAATTTTTATGTTGAATATTGGAAATAACTTTTAAGACTCTCCATCAATCTAGTAGAACTCTTAAAAATATTTTCTCACCTCAAGAGTATTCAAGGATCCATTTGTTTTCTTGAAGAGGCTCCGTCATCAGAAAGATTTTTTTTGTTTGATTTTTTTGGTCAAAAATATATCTAATTATTCCACCATTTAGGCCAAATTAGAAATATTTTCTTTTTTGAATTTCTAAATTTTCACCATTTGGGCATATTTAGAAATTCTTTGTATTTCTCTTTTTTATTGGATTTCTAAATTTTTGAAATTTTAAATTTTTCACCATTTGAGCCTATTTAGAAAATCTTTTTCTCTTTTTTTGTTGGAAAGAAAATAATATGACAATTATTTTTTATTGAAATTTCATTTAAATTCTTCTATCATTCGGGACAAATTTAAAGAAATTTCTCACTTAGAGATTTCTTGAGAATTTACCATTTGAAGTTTCTAAGAATCTAATCTTTGGATAATTGTCAAATATTTTCAACCAAAATTTGTTATTTTTTCTTTTTTTTTGTTTGAAAATAAAAATAAATTATTGTTATTAAAATTTTATCTAAATTATTCCACCATTTAGGAAATTTAGACAAAATTCCTCACCAAGGAATTTTATAGAAATTTGTCATTTGAAATTTTTATAAATTTCATTATTGGATAATTAATACTTATTCTCAAAAAATATTTTTTTATTTTTTATTTTTTATTTTTTCTAAATTTAATCATTCAAAAATACTAAAAAAATAAACACATAAATAAATAAATAAATACCAAAAAAAAAAAAAAACTAAAAAACGAATGGCTCAGTTGGAATGGCTCGGCGCGACTTGGCTTTAGGTTCATGAGACAACTTCAGGAGGCTGGGTTTGCGACTCTGCTCAACTGGAGCCAAAGGTAGGGATGCGGGTTAAAGGTGGGATAAGCGCTCGGGTTAAGTAGCCCAACGATAAAACATGCGGATCCTAGGTTGAATTAAAATGCCAAAACGATGTCGTTTTGGAGCTGGTATAAAAGGCAGACCCAACCTTTTTTCCTCAAATTTCACTTTCCCCTTCTCTCTCTCTTCCCTTTTCTTTTCTCTCCCCCTCTCCCTAACTCGGATGAACTTCGGTTGAATCCTTCACAAGATTCTGGAAATCTCTCCAGAATCTTGGTTGGTTCGTCAAAAAATTCAATTGATGTCAAAATCTTTAACCAAATTCTAGGAAACCTACCAAAAAATTCAACCGATGCAAGAAAAGTCACCAAAAAATTTGACAAGCATCGAAAAATTACATCGAAATCTAAAATTTTTCAGAAAATTCCCAAAAAATTTTTTACCCAAAAAAAACTCTAAATTTTTTTTGCTTTCTGCTTGCTGTGTTTCTGTGTCTACTCTGTTATCGCGTGATCTGCCTCTCTATCTTTTGTGTTCTATGATTCGTTTCTGTGTGTTCATCTCTTGATCAGTGGGCTTGTATTTATAGGGTTCTGAGCCTAAGAGCCCTAAACAGGAAAGGAATTCTACTTTCTTTTAAATCCAAACTTTAATCTCGAATTTATCCCAATTCGATAAGCCAAAAAAACAATCCCAAACCAATTCAACCTCCCTAAATTTTCCTAATTTTTTATTTTTATTTTTTATTTTTAAAAAATAAACACCTGGACATATTAGGGTGTCTACATCTATAATTCAAAAATTTTCCTCTCATAACCTCCAATTTAAAATTGTAAGTATGGGAAATACTCGCTTCATTCCGACTCTTATGGTGGTGGTTCTGTTGTCTAGTTTTGAGGTTTCATTCTCTACAAAAACAACAACCAATATCAACACTGACCAGTTGGCTCTTCTTGCACTAAAAGCCCATGTCATTAGTGATCCTCAAAACCTCCTGGCTACCAATTGGTCAACTGTTACTTCTATTTGCAATTGGATTGGTGTCACTTGCGGTTCTCGGTACAAAAGAGTCACGGCTCTGAATCTTGTTGGTATGAATCTCTCCGGTACCATACCACCACACCTGGGAAATCTGTCGTTTCTTGCTACGCTCCGCACTGGAAACAATAGTTTTCATGGCTCATTGCCTATCGAAATGGCTAATTTGCGTCGGCTGAAATCTTTAAATTTGATTAACAACGATTTCAACGGGGAAATCCCTTCCTGGTTTGGTTCCTTTGCTAAACTTCGGAACTTGTCTTTGACTGGTAATAACTTCATGGGAGTTATCCCATCTTCTTTGTGTTCTTGTCAAAACTAGAGCTCTTGGGCTTGTCTCGTAACAATCTACAAGGACAGATTCCTGTGGCAATCGGAAATCTTTCTAGCCTGAGATGGTTATATTTGAATTACAATCAGTTTTCAGGCTCCATACCTTCCTCGGTCTTCAACATATCTTCATTGGTACATATTGTTCTCAGTGACAATCAGCTAATTGGTTCAATAGCCTCCATCCTACTCAACATTTCATCTTTAGAAGCAATTGACTTAACATTTAACAATCTCACCGGTCATATCCCACTAAATATGTTTGATTATCTACCCAAACTAAAAGGGCTTTATTTGAGTGCAAACCAGCTTTCTGGCAGAATACCAATTGGTTTATTCAAGTGCCAAAAGTTAGAAGAATTGTCCTTATCTTATAACTATTTAGAGGGAATTGTACCTGGTGAAATCGCAAATTTGACTATGCTTAAGATGTTGTATCTTGGCAACAACAACTTCAAAGGCAAAAGGAAAATTATTGTTGAGTTTATTTCTTTTTGAACAATGACAATGTCACTTTTTGGCAAATCTCGAAAGTGTTTTTAATTTCATTTTACCTATCACTTTTTAATTAGGGTATTTTATCCTTAATTTAACTTTAATTTCTTTAACATCTTTTTATGTAAAGTATATGATTTTATGTTCGTCGAGACTGGTTTTTCACTACTAATTTTGCTAGAATATATATTAGGAAACCACTTAAGTTAACACCAAACCTTATTTAATTTATAGCTAAATAAAAACAATAAAAATTTTATTGAAAAATTCTAGTTGCTTTACTGTGTGCTTCACATCCTTTTTACTGCAGGCAAATAACGTTCGGGATTTTGAGCTTCTTTCTTTTTTGTTGTTTTTAATTTTTATTTTAATTTTTTGTGATTAGTGTCACATTCTTTTTTACTTTCCTTATTTCTTTTTATTTAAATTCTACTCACTTTTTTTTTTTTTAATTTCATCATTTGATCCCAAACTTTTACTTTAATAATCATGCATGTAATTTTCATTGACTAATCATTCAACAATTAATTATTACCACCTTGTATGAACTATTAATATTTTTTTTCATTTTTATATATTTTATTCATATTAAACACAAAAAAATAAATTCTTTGTGCGGGCATTAATGCTTTGTATTACCTAAACATTGTTTGATTCTTTCGTGCTTAACAAAGAAATAAGGCGTATTCATGTATAAGAAAACGAAATTTGCCAATAATTTTAACATGAAATAAAATTTCATTATAAATGCAGGTAAAATTCCACCACAGGTTGGTAACGTTCTGAATTTGGAGGAATTAAGCTTTCGATTTTGTCACCTAATAAGGGCTATTCCTTCTGTCATTGGCAACCTAACATTTCTGAAAGTTCTCGATATTTCTCCAATAACTTGACCGGTAATATATTACATTATTTCCATTTGTGTTATAACTGCATCTTTTTAATATTTGAATGTTAATATTTTTATTATTAGTGAATATTAATATTATTATAAGTAGACTCTCTTATTGTAGTCATTGTTACATAACCTTCTTTATTTTTTATAGAATTGTAAGATTGATGAAATGAATGGGAAATAGGAATGGTTGAATGCAGAGAATAAGCAAGAAATAGATTTAAATGGTGCATAGAGATGTCCATGGCTTTTGAATTAGGCAAAACCTTTTTGTAAAGTCCAAACCCAGCTAATATAAAATCTTTAATTTAATTTAAAGTAGACAACTATTCCAAGCCATATCATTTTTTATTTTGTTTATTTTTCTAATTTAATAAAGTCTAACCCTTTTCATCGTCGAATAGTATATTAGATTTCAAAATCATTTTATTTTGTTGAAGTTAGTTATTTGACTGATTATGTTACCGACACTAATTATTAAGAATGATATAAAATTAACAATACCAAGAGATACGTGCAAATAACATTTTCATTTGTTTTTGTCCTTTATTGTGTGGATCAATGTAGGACAATGGAATTACCCTTTGATTTTTGTGGCAGGTAATATACCAGTTCAATTTGGCAACCTACCAAAATTGGAAGCATTGCTTTTGGGAATTAATAGTATCTCTGGAATCATCCCTTCTCGCGTCTTTAATAGCTCAACTGTGAGAGTCATTTTTCTAACACTAAACCGGCTCTCAGGCTATCTTCCATCAACCGCAGGCCTTTGGCTTCCGAAGCTTGAAATCCTTGAACTTGGAGAAAATGAGTTAAGTGGATCGATACCTGCCTCCATTACCAATGCCTCTCGGCTTACCACTCCTAGCTTCGATGGCAACTCATTTTCTGGATATATTCCTATTGACCTTGGCAATTTAAGAGATCTACAATATCTTAGCCTAGGTCAGAATAATTTGGATAGCACACCTTCGTCCTGGGGGTTGAGCTTTTTAACTTCATTGGCAAATTGCAAACACATGAGAGTATTGTTCTTTGCTATCAATCCAATGATCAGTGGTAAACTTCCGGTTTCTATAGGAAATCTCTCTGTTGAACAATTTCTAGCTTATGGTTGCAACATTAAAGGCAGTATTCCAGGAGAAATTGGCGACATGCGCAACTTGATTGCGTTGAACCTAGATAACAATAAACTGACTGGATCTCTTCCCACCACAATCGGAAGATTAAAAAATTTGCAAAGTCTATCTCTTCAAGGCAACAAATTCTTCCTAACTGAGTTATGCAATTTAAAGAGTTTGAGTTACCTGTATTTTACCGGTAACAAATTGGTTGGACCAATACCGGCATGTTTAGGTGATCTTGTTTCTCTTAGATATCTATTTTTGGGCTCCAACAAGTTTGCCAACTCAATACCCTCAACCTTGACCTCCCAGTTGACATTGGAAAGTGGAAAGTTATCACTAGCATTGATTTTTCCAAATCCATCAGGTGAAATCTCGATAAGCATTGGTGATCTTAAGGACTTGACCTTTTCTCATTATCTGGTAACAGATTGCAAGGACCTATACCAGAGTCATTTGGGGGTCTAATAAGTTTACAAGTCTTGGATTTGTCAAGGAACAATTTATCACGAATCATCCCCAAGTCTTTAGAGAAACTCTTGTATCTTGAACATTTTAATATCTCATTCAATAAACTTGAAGGAGAAATTCCTAACAAAGGATCCTTTGGCAACTACACTATTCAATCCTTCATGGGAAATAAAGCACTGTGTGCTGCACCTCAACTGCGACTCCCACTCCCACCATGCGAAGCTAATTCTTTTGGAAAGCATTCAAGGAAAGCTATTCATCTTGTAAAATATATTTTATTGCCAATTGGTTCAACAATAATAGTACTAGCTCTGATTCTAATTTTTTCACGAAGACGAAAAAGGAATGCAAATCTGCCAGCTGGTCAAGAAAATTTCCCAGCATTAGTAGAATGGAGAAGAGTTTCATACCAAGAGCTTCAACAGGCTACTTATGGATTTTCTGAAAGCAAATTACTTGGTGTGGGGAGTTTTGGATCAGTATACCAAGGAATTCTTTCAGATGGGTTGAGCGTTGCAGTAAAGGTCTTCAATTTGGAGTTAGAAGGAGCATTTAAGAGCTTTGACGTTGAGTGCGAGGTCTTACGTAACATTCGCCACCGAAATTTAGTCAAAATCATCAGTAGCTGTTCTAACATTGATTTTAAAGCCTTGGTTCTTGAGTTCATACCTAGTGGAAGTCTAGGGAAGTGGTTGTACTCTCATAACCATTTTTTGGATATCTTGCGTAGGTTGAACATGATGATCGATATGGCATCTGCATTAGAATACCTTCATCATGGTTATACAACACCTGTGATCCATTGCGATTTAAAACCCAACAATATTCTTCTTGATAAAGATATGGTTGCACATTTGAGTGATTTTGGCATTGCAAAGCTATTAAGTGAACACGATTCAACAATACACACCATGACACTAGCAACGATTGGGTATATGGCACCAGGTAGTACAAAATTTTAAACTCTTTTATCCTATTATGATGACTAATGTAACATCATTGTATGCTTTGATGATGATTTTGACAATTTATATGTAGAATACGGATCAGAAGGAATTGTTTCAACAAAAGGTGATCTGTACAACTTTGGTATTCTTTTAATAGAGACCTTTACAAGAAAGAAACCCACAGATGAAATTTGTGCTGGAGAAATGAGCATAAAATATTGGGTGAAAACGTCATTACCATCTACTTTGATAGAGGTTGTAGATACCAATTTGTTAAATAATGAAGGAAGACAATACTCTGCGACAAGAGATTGTACTTTATCTATTTTGCAATTAGCACTGGAATGTTCAGAAGAGGTTCCAGAGGAGAGGATTGATATGAAAGAAGTTGTTGCTAAGCTGACGAAGATCAAAATCAAGTTTTTACATGAGTCGAATAGGCGGGCCTAATGAGGAGAACTTTCATGTAGCTTGGCATTTCCATTTGACTCCTTTGTGCTCATGGTTTATCTTTCTTGATTTCCTTTGAGCACTGAATATCCATAATTTGAGCTCAATTCTTTCATACATGAGTGCTTTCCTTAATAAGTTAACTGCATTTGTGGGCTTTTGTTCTAATGTGTGTTCATGAACATTAAATGAATCGCTCAATGCCTATAAAGTTCTATGTTGTATTTGGTCTTTCTTTGTTTTGGTTGATTTAAAGTTTGTGGCAATTATTTAAAGCAAAAAAGTTTTTTTCCTTGTTGAAATTGGTTATTGTTGGAAATCGTCGTTGTAAACTTAAAGATTTAATGTCTTTTGGAAAGGAGTTTGCCATTCTCATGTCTGCAAGAAAGCAAAAACAGAGTTCCTCATAATAGTGAGGAACCATTATCAATTTTTTGAATTCTCTATCTATAAAGTATTCTTTAGCTTCGGGGTCTGTCAAAAAATTGTCTTAAAAAATTTTCTCTATCATCAAAGTTTTTTTTTTTCCTTTTTTTTAACTTTTAATTGGAAAAAATGGAACAGTACAATATGAATTTTTGAAGTTTCTATTACCTAAGTAATTAGGATGTCAGAAACGGAATGCATTGTCTAACAACAATTTAACTCATTTACCTCTGTCTTGAGTTGAAATAAGGTGAAATTAAATGCTCAATCTTTGGTGGTAAAGCTTTAAATATGGATCCAAAATGAAGCATTTATTTTGATTTTATTGAGATGTTATAACGTGAAAAAGATTAAAATATGGTTGGAGCCTTAGAGTTGCAAGGTCTTCAATTTTGGCCATGTCAAGTGACAAATTGGAATGCCAATTTTCTAGGGTCTTTTCCCATTTTATGGATAATTCCATATCTTGGGTCATTGAACACTATTATGATCACTTGTCAAACTGATATGGAAAAGCAATTAAAAAGTGATGATATTTTTGCTACATGTTCCAACTGGAAATGGGGCAATCCCATATTAAAGAAAGAAAGATAATGGAAAGCTAATAATGGAGTAATAATGACTAGATAAGAATTGGAAAGCACGTTTCGAGAAATGCTAGCAGTAACTTAAAAATTATATATTAACCTTAATGACAATCAATTGGAAGGGTCACAAAACCCATTTTCGTGCACTGCTCGTTAAAAGTATTCTTTTATCAATGCATGAGAGTAAAGAAGAGTGAGGACTAGGTTGTCTGAAATTTCTTATTTGTTTTTTCTCTCTCTCAAATATGCTAAAGTTTCATTGATCTAACTAAGAAGGTAAACCCATCACAAGGCAAAGAACTAAAGTGATAAATTACCCATAATCTTGTAGTTTATTGATAAAATATTAAATTCATAAATTTTGTTGCCACGATTAAATTTCTGATAACTTAAATATCAAAAGAGTAGAATTTGAAATGAGAATTAAGCGACAAAAAGAGAGAATGCAAATAAATTAGTTAAAAATTCCTTAGCTAGATCGTTGATTTTGAAGTAGGAACCATAGAACTCTGATCAATTAAGCCATACAATTAAGTTTCTCTTAATTCCTCAAGGGAAACTCTCAATTCATTCTGGCACTTATGATGGTAATGCTGTTTCCTAATTTTGTGCTTTCCTTGTCTATGAAATCAACCACCACTAATATCATCAACACACACCAACTGGATCTTCTTGTTCTAAAAGCTTATCTCAACAACGATCTCCTAATCTTTTTAGTGTTTTCTCATATTTCATTAATAAAATTTTGGCTTAGCCAAAAAAAAAAGAAAAAGAAAAAGGAAATGGTCAATTGAAAACAATAGAATTGAGAAGAGTGAAACTCAAACTTGCTTTTTGGGGTAGAAACTAAGAATTTGATCATATATATCAAAGTCAATCCCAACCTTTTTAAGCAACAAGTTGTCAATAAGTCATATGTGGTCACAATTATAGCATATTATTAGGGTTATAAAACTTAATGTATTTGGCCAATCCAGTGACAAATTGAAATGCCCCTTATCTTGGGTCTTTAACCATTTTATGGTTAATTCCATAGCGTGAGTCATTGGACCGTATTTTGATCATTTATGAAATTGATATGAAAAAGCAATAGAAAATCGTTATATTTTTCCTACATTTTCAATTTGGAAAGTGGGAATCCCAACCACATGTTAGAAAAGAAAATTTCACATTTCACATTGAAAAGGGTTCTTATGCAAAGATGGACCTTGTTTGAATGCATGGTGAGGACTGAGGTACCTACAATTGCACACATTTTTTCCTTCAAATATGTTAAATTTTTATTTATTTAAAGAAAGCAGTAAAAACAAAGAATTAAAAGTGTAAAATTATCAATAATTTTGTGACTTATGAGAACAAATAAGAAATTAAGTAAAGAAAGTTAAAAAGCCATTTAGTTTTTCTATAATTTCTTTTGAATTCTCATTTCCGTGTTAAAGTTGCAGACTTCTATTCATCTTCAAGGTCACATAATCATCCAATTTTGCAAAGTGGTCAATCAGCTCCAAAACACCATTGACATTCAGCACCCTCTCTTTCACTCACCCATGTCCTTTTTCGTTCTTTTTAGTTGACCATAAACCCAAGCTGTCTGTCATTCACCAAACACACCACACTAGGTTACATCTATCAGCCTTTTTCCTTTGAATAAACTCTTATAGTTTAGTAATATAAATATAAATTAATTGACCTCTCCTACTACGTTATAAGCGTTATTAATTAAGCACCATTATCCTTGTTTGATTCATGGCCTTCAAAAATATCTTTAAATCAAATATCTCAATGTAATCACTATTTTATAGCATCAAGGAAAAAATGAAATAGAGGTGCAAATGGCCTTAGAGCATTGCCACGTTGGGTGGGACAAAGAGAGGGGCCATCGAGTATTTTTTCATTTAAATTTAGTTGTACAAAAAAATTTCCAATTTTTATTCTATTAAATTACAAAAGAGTTTAAATAATTATGAACTTACATAATCGATAGTTTAATTGGACTGGCTAGGGATCTCTATAACTACGAAATGCCCTAATAGAAACAACTGAATTGACAAGAGTGCAATGCAAGTAATTAAACTTGTTTTTTGGGGGTAGATGGTAGAATTTGGTGAGATAAGTCTTGAGTCAACCACAATCTTTCAAAGCTACAAGTTGTGAATAATATAGGGAAGTGTTGTCTTTAAGTCATGCTCATATCAATGTGGCTACAATTATAGAATATTGTTGGCGTAAGAAGATTGGTTTTCCTTTTGGCATAAAAATTACAATTGACAACCAAACCAGAAGATTTTTTTTTCTAACTTTTCATTGGAAAGTGTGTAAAGTATTTCTACAGTGCTAATGCTGTCTCTTTACTCCCGTTTTTCTGATTGGAAAATATTTCTACACTTAACTCACGTACCTAAATGCTTAATCTTTGGAGGCAATGATCAAAGCTTTGATCCCAAATGAAGCATTTTTCCGGATTTTGTTGACACAAGGAAGCTCACCTAAAAGAATTGCTTGCAAAAATACTCTATCTTGAAGTGATAAATCATCTACAGAGTCTTCAATTTTGGCCAATTTATGGTTAAATCCATATCTTGAGTCATTGTACCATATTATTATATGTCGATTGTTACGGAAAAGCAATTGAAAGTTGTGATTTTTCCTACATTTTGATCAAATTGGAAGTGGCCCATATTCAAAAGAAAGATAGAGTTGTTCAAACAAAAAAAAAATGTGCCCAAATATTGGTTCAATGACCAATATATATTTTTTATTGTGTTACAAATAAATCTGAGTCTCCAAATAAACTAAAAAATAAAAGAAAGGGGATGGAGAGTTGTTAATCGAGTAATAATTAATAAAAGAGAAAGTGATTTGTCTAGAATTCATATTTACATGAGCTATTACATGGAAATTGTCTTAATTGTCCTATACTCTATTTTGAGGTTGTTTCTGTGCTCATGAATCAAAGTTTTAAAAATCTTTAATGATAAACGTAAAGTTAGTTTTTTATATCATGGATAACATGTGATACAATTAATTATACAAATAAATTTTATTAACTTTATCATAAAATTACTTTATATATATATACATATGAAGTTACATTTTGTTTGGCCTTAAATGACAATAAAAATAAATAAGAAATGATAAAGTTACAATTTTTTCCCTTTAAAATTCTTTTTGCAATGCCAACTACCAAGTTATAAATTTTCTGAGTGGAAGGGTAGGGAAGCACGTAGTCCATCACAATTTTCATCGCTTGGAATATTGAAGAAGAAAAATAAAAAATTTTCCTTTCATAAGTTCCAATTCTACATAACTTCATGGGAAATACTTGGTACATTCTTGCTCTTATAGGGGTGGTGCTATTGCTGTCATGTGCCAAGACTAAGATGTAATACAATTATATTATCTTGAAATAAAACTCTAAAGTAATACACAATTTTCTTTTTTAATTATTCTAAAATTTTTCAATAAAATAATCTACTAAATAAAATCCATTATTTTAGTCTAACTAATAATACATTTCTATATATCCAAATATAAATTAATAAAAGTATAAAACCATATCGTAAGATCTCACTAGCCAACATTGTTTCTAACGACCAAGTAATCATTCTCATTTAGATCTTCTGGCTTCTTACAAGACTAAAAAAACTTATCATTTACTTATCTGTAAAGAAAAAAAATAAGGAGAATGAGCAAACCACAGTTTAGTAAGTATAAGCACACACACCTTACCAGATCAAGCATTGTTTTCATACATATCATATAGATCATTCGAAACATTCATCAAATCATAATGTCAAAACATTTCAAAAATCATCATTTTGTCAAACATTTTATAAATTCATAAATGAATGTCAAACATATCAATTCATAAATCATTTTAAATATGCTATCATTCAAATATCATAATCAAGCCAAATCATACACATATACATAAGTTTGAAAACAAGCAAAGTGTGTAAGATTCTATTTATCTCCTTTCGAATCCAC